CCTTCGCCATACCGCAGAAGTACCTATAAAGTACCGTCGCAAGTACCTCACGCGTACCTCTGGTGTACTGCTATTGTTCCTCGGAAGTACTGTACCGTTACCGCTACCGTTGTTTACTTTTTTTTGACTTGCCTACTGCCACCAAAATGAAAAAAATCACTACGAAAGAAGGTAATGTGCGATACTGGCTGGGTGAGCACTTATTACAGTGTCCATCAGCACGGTGAAGGTGAGTTGATGCAGAAAGAAATGAAAAGCAGTAAAGTGCAAACCCTCGGCGAACTGCGCATGTGCGGTACCACTAATTGATGGGCTGGGCTTTTTATGCCTTTACTCGTGGTATCCCGCTAGTAGCTCGCGGAGAGTCTGGCACGGGCTAGCTACAGTAGTAAATAGCATGCGGGAGTCGATACATGCCCTTCGTTGTGATTTGTTGTGCCTTCAAGACACACAGAGCGAACGGATGCGGTCGAGGTAAGCCTGTGCTGATTAGCAATTGGCTTGTTCACTTGGTTTTCACGCCATAACTTTAAAACACAGTAGTTTTACGAAAATCGGCTTTTTTAAAATCAACCCAGTGTAGCACTGAACCCGATCATATCGCTATTTACCTGATTTCGTGCGCGCGGTGGCAGAAAACGTTGTAACAGACAGACGGACAGACTGACAGACACACTTACGGGACAACTACTGTAACCCTCGCTGCGCATGCGCGCCGAAAGCACTGAAGTGCAAACCCTCGGTGCATTATGACGTGCACGCGTGAGTAAACGCATGCACTGTATCACTAATCGATGGGCTGGGTTTAGTTTTAGCTGTTACTTGTAGTCTCTTGCCAGCTCGCGCATAGTCTGACGCGGGCTAACTACACTCCTAGATAGCATGCGAGAGGTGATACACGCCCTGCGTTGCATCTTCTGGTGCCTCCGAGGTATTATACGCAGAGCACGCGGATCAATCAGACCGTGTTATTTTTTTGGGTTTCTTGTTGTTGATCTTGTAGTTTAGCTACATGTATATACGTTTAATATCTGCTATAATTATACATATTACACATTTTTTAAAAGACCGTGGTAAGCTATCCTGTCCGTTGCGTATTTGCATATTGGCTTTTTCGCGCTCTGGCTTTGCAATGGAGCAGTTTCTGAGAAAGCCGCACATAATTTCTTACCTTCATTGTCCGTTGGGTAGGTGCTATCCTTTGTGAGACGAATGAACACTCGAGAAGTGAGATGACGAGTAACAGACAGACACACAGACACACAAACCCAACTACAGTAACCCTCACTTCGCATGCGCACCGAGGGTTAACAACCAACGCTCACCGGTTTATTGTGATGATAGAACACCACCAGTACATTCGGAACGGCTGCGATGATTTTCTCTCCACCAGTACAGTAGAAGCTAAATGAGGGAACCTGCAGAGTCCATATGAAACATCACATCCAAAAACTGTGAATAGAAAGGTAACGTTCAGAAATTTCCACAGGTGTTTATTATGGGAACAATTCAAGTCACTTACAGGTAAGTTACAATTGACTACAGCCAACATAACGAAATAGTGTGCTTGAAGGTGAGTTGATGGAACCAGAGACAATAGAATGAAGAAGACCACTAGTACAGCAATGATTTGCTGAGTGTATATGAAACATCACATCAACAAACACACTGTGAGCAGAAATTACCATAGGCCGTCGATCTATCATGTAGAGCATGCATAGGAACCTATACAAGTCACATACATGTATGCTACAATTGCCTATACTGCCACCAAAAGATTGCAAGGGAATTAAGCACAGGGAGAAATAACACATCACATGTTTTGCCTTCTATTCGCAGGGAGTTGCAAACAAAAAAACTGCGTGCAACTTCCTCCAAAGTGACACCACGAGGAGGTTGAAGGCCCATCATGGGACAGTCTCAATTCATACATACACAGAGATGACTGCCCCACAATGCCGTCACTCACAAGTGGATTCACACCACATAAATATTTTGCCTATATAGTAAGTTATCCATGCCAGGGTTTACTGTACGAGTTTGTATGGTTCTGTCCAGGCAGTGTGAATCCACTGTGAAGAGTGGATGTTATTAGGTACCCACTAACAGGTCAGTGACATAAAAATGTGCAGAAGGGCTTTAGTAAAATATACACCGACAGAGGGCATATTTTCACTGTCAACTTTGTTACCTGCGAGTTGGTACAATACACATTATCCCATTGGACATCCACTCTTCAAAACACACAATTAATGCAGTGTCAAGTTCCATACAAACAGCTGCCATTCTGTTAGATACTGTAAACACCCGAGTGTGGAGATCTCATAGTAACAACTCACTCAGGTGCAAACATACCTTAGTTGCTCACGCCACCAAAGAAGGCCAACAAGCGTCGTGTGACGGAGGCAGTTTCATTCAGGTCTTTGAGTATTCTCTGTGTTCTCCTCGAGGGGGCAGTCTCGATCCCGAAGACATTGCAGAGCTGGATTTGAATGATTAGATCATCTTCCCCGCTACTTTCTCCCCTCCCCCCCTCTCTTTTTTCTCTTCTCTCCTTTTCCTCTTCTGTCAGTTTTGTGTACACAATAGTGTTGTAGTTGACACTCCAACTTTCTCTTTTTTTAACGTAATAGTGCGCGTGCATGTGTAGATAAAAAGTCGCCTATAATACACTGAAAGTGCTACAACACACTGATCTGTGGATTTGATGTGCAAGAAGATCGATAGTCTAAGGTAGTCTGATTGAGTCGAAAATTCCCTCATTGGCAAAGGAAGTGACGCCTGACTACAGTGGAAACTACAAATAATGGACATATTGGGACCAGGAATTTTGTCCTTCATAGGGAGGTTGTCCTCTCTTCAGAAGTTAAAGATGTAGTGTATGTTTGCGATATCCTTTTTGCTATTGTGTCCTTTATTCGGAATGTCCTTATCAGAGGTTCTACTGTGAACGTATTTTTTATGTGCTGGGGGCAATCGTCATTAAGAGGATGTTAAAACACACATGTCCATGGACATTGCATAAATAAGCAAGGGCACATTCACAAACTAAAATGAGGTTCAATCAGACGAATCAATTGGATCATGTAGTCGGAGTCAGAGTTCGAAGACGTGGCTGATCAGTGTTGGCTCCCGAGTTCCCATACTTGCTCATCGGAAATGCTTGTTTTGTGCTTTTTATATTGAGCTCCTAGAGCCTAATTGAAAGCACAGGAGCACACAAATATGTTTCTCTTCTGAATTTTACCTGTATTTTTTGAGCTCCCAGAGCTATCCCGTACTTGCTAATTGCAAACATGCTTATTTAGACCACAGGAGCTTGTAGACATGTTTGTCTTCTGCATTTCACCAGTATTTTGAGGTATTACAGCTTCCATACTTGCAACATGCTTGTTTTCTGCATTGTATTTTGAGCTCCTAGAGTCTAATTGAGACTATAATTACAGGAGCTAGCAAACATTGTGCATCAACATCACATCACATCATCACTTTTTGAGAAAATAGACCAATTACTTGCTACAAGAGATGTGCACATGACTGTTTGGCGTAATGTATCGCGTGACAAATGCAGCTGCAACAGTGTTGGGTCTCTCGACTATAATTTTGATCTCGAGTATAATTATACCTGCTCATGCATGAAGAGTGCACACCCACACACAATTCTACTGTGTGACACTTGCACTTCCGAGCACATAATAATTATGTAGCACTACGGCAAACAAGTATACTTGTACTAGTGGAAATGTTGAACATTGTTGGCGAACGGGAGCGACCCAACCCGGGATTTGCCAGCAATGTTGGGGCTGCATAACGTGCCGTCAGCGCACAGCTTTCCTTTCGTGAAGCAAGACAGACCTACCTGTCGCCGTTACATGCGTACTGTATATCGCCAGAACGGTAAGCAGGTAAGCTGAACGGTACATATTTCCAAGTTGCACCTTCGAACCATGAGGATTGGGAAGAGGTACAGCCTCGGTCAGTCACCGAAGGTTGCAACGCATGCAGTGGAATAGAGTTCTCTCAGGCTAGATCGACATCAAAATCACATATGGATGGAAAGGTCCATACACTGCTCAGCAATTCTTATCAGATAGCTATTTACTCTCTCCCTCTCATTTGTAACAAGCTAGCACCTGGAATGAAATCAGGAGTAGCCAGGAACCATCCAAGGAAGTAATCCTCCACAGATGGTTTTCGTCCATTACTTTTATAGTGGGAGGACTCTTCAGCTGGCCCCACTCCTAATGCACACGGCAATCATAATCATATTTCACCATCAGCAGAGAAGAGTGGAACATCACAATTCTCTCCCAGGTGAAGCGAATGTGGACACCGGGATATCTGCTCAGCAAAAATATATTTGTGTAGACTCAATAAGGAAGCCCAATTGCAAACATGTTTCTCTCTTCTGCTTTTTTGGAGGTTTTAGAGCTCCCATTGTCGCTAATTGGAAACATGCTTGTTTTGTGCATTTTATTATGAGCTCCTCGAGCCTACTAGAGACCACAGGAGCTTGCACATGTTTCGTTTCCTATAATGCTCACTCTCAGTCCTCTCCCCTTGGATACAATGCTCCCTCCTCCAACTTCGACCTATAATGCGCAGTCCTCTCCCATCGGCTGTCGACCAGCTTGGGACACATCCAGTCTGTTCTCTATCACTCACAGTCGTCAGTCTGTTCTCTATCACTCACAGTCGTCAGTCTGTTGTCTATCACTCACAGTCGTCAGTATGTCTATCACTCCAGTTGTCAGTCTGTTCTCTATCACTCACAGTCAGTCAGTTCCATTCAAACAGCTGCCCTCCTTTGGGATCCTGTTAACACCCAGAGTGTGGAGATCTCATAGTAACAACTGACTCAGGTGCAAACATACCGGAGTGTGGAGATCGATCCTAGCAACAACTCACTCAGGTCCACACATAACCTAAGCGTGGAGATCTCCTAGCAACAGCTCACTCATGTGAACATACCTGAGCGTGGAGATCTCCTAGCAACAGCTCACTCAGGTGCAAACATACCATAGCGTGGAGATCGATCCTAGCAACAACTCACTCAGGTTCACACATAACCAGAGTGTGGAGAAACTCCTAGCAACAACTCACTCGGGCACATTGGTGTGGAGAAAACAGACACCCACACTACTGCATATGCTGATTCGCCACTGGTAATGGGTAGGTAGGTGTCTTCACACACTTTTTGCACTCCCAGTGGACCTCGGACTCCCCAAACACTTCACTAGGAATGTCCACCCAGGTTCACACATAACCTGAGCGAGGAGTTCTCAGTTCTCCTAGCAACAGCTCACTCGGGTTTCAACACGCAAAACCATTTTACACATCACATTCATGGAGAGCGAGCACAGTGGCATGGCCTTTTCAAAATTGTAATACATTCTTTTATCCTAAACAACTCAGTCAAAGTTTCTCACTGCATTCGCTCACCATTCATTGGAAAATCACATTGAAAAATGCACTCAATCAACCCTAGCGTGGAGATCTCCTAGCAACAGCTCGCTCAGGTGCAAACATACCTTAGCATGGAGATCGATCATAGCAACAACTCACTCAGGTTCACACATAACCAGAGTGTGGAGAAACTCCTAGCAACAACTCACTCGGGCACATTAGTGTGGAGAAAACAGACACCCACACTACTGCATATGCTGATTCGCCACTGGTAATGGGTAGGTAGGTGTCTTCACACACTCTTTGCACTCCCAGTGGACCTCGGACTCCCCAAACACTTCACTGGGAATGTCCATGCAGTGGCGGTGATACCAGATGTGGCAGGAATCACACTTGGCCATCTCATCACCTTCCTCTTCCGGCATGCGACATGAGCAGTGGAGCTCCACTGTCTTTGGCTTTCTCTGGACACTCTCTCTGTCACCCAACGCAGGAAAACGAGAAACCTGGCAATTCCCAAAACAAGTTATCAGATGTGGCCTGATCTTACTGTAACACTGCAAGGGTTCATACCACTGCGTATGTCAAATGCATAGGCTATGGCCAGAACCCCGCAGTCGGAACCATTGGACTGTTTCTCAACGTCCATCATTAAAACTTTTAGCTCAGAGCTCGTGACATGGACCATGCATGCTATCAAATGAACAGTTTCTTTGGACAGACTGTCATACACATGGACAACACCACTCTGACAACTAACTGTGGACACAACACACCAGTGGTTATTTCTGACGCGTATGATTTGAACAAATTCGCCCAGAGTGGACCTGAAACGCAAACACCTTCTGCAGCGTGGGGGGTTGCAGGCCGGCATGTTGGGGGAAAACTGCACAGATGATCTTGTCGGTGAGCCACTCTCTCCGAGACAAAACTACATCCCGATCAAGACAGCTCAGAGTGTAGGCACCGTTACTTACCCACATTTCTTGGGCCCTTTGTTTTCTTCTTCAGATGCTGAAGATAGCACAATGCTCTCAGAGGTCTTGGGAACACAGCGTTCCTGCAGATCTCAGTCATTTGTTATACTTCGGAGCGAAATTCTGGGGGCTTTTCGCCTCTCATCGAGTCGGATAGGAAAGCAATCAGTCACAGGAATAAGCCCAGTGCCAGAGAACGAAGTGTTCAGAACACCTTTCGAGCAGTAGAGCTGATACCGGCCAGCAAACTCCCCCACAAAGCGACAGGGGGCGTGATAACCCCCATACTTCCGCTGTGAATGCAGACATAATCCCTGACTTTCATCTCGGGCTTCACGTCCTCTGAAGGGACACTCTCCGGGGGACTTGAGATATGTTCTGGCTCTAATGAACTGGGATCAGCTTGTGCTTCTGGGTCACTAGGGGCAGGAAACAAAGTACGGCCAGACAGAGGGTTCCTGTAGCTCAATAGACAGCCTCTCTTGTGGGGGCCCTCCCTTCAGCTCCACACGTACAGTAATCAATTTTCAAATTTTTATGAGTCTGATGAGTCACCATCTGCGATGTCTTCACCAGACTCAGAGTCAGATATTAATTCCTCTGTCAGAGTGGGCCTCTTTTTTGGCATGACCTTTGTGGAAAGGGCAGTTTCTGTGGCTAGATCGTAGGTGTGTGCTCGATCCACATACAGCACAGTTCCCTTTCCCCTTGGCGTTTATCTTGCCCCGATTACTGCCTTTCCCTTTCCCTTTTTGGTTCACCCCATCATCACACACCATTTTTTCAACGTCACTATCACCACTGCCGCCAAAGTATGTATCATGGCCGTGTTCTTTTGACCACTTGATGCGCTCTATCCCTTCCTTGACACGCTTCTTTTTCAGTTCTTTCTACGTTTCTTCTTGGGAGTGGTGTTGGCCAACTCTAATTCTCTCTTTCTCCGTACGTTATGCTTTAGCGACTGTCGGACTAACTGAGACTGCAGACGCGAGAGACGTAGTCGGTCGCAGCTATCGCCAGGGAACTCGAAGTCGGCGTGGAGCTGGTTGATGTGGCCATGGCTGTGCCGGAGAGAAGCGAGAGAGATAACAACCGCTTTGACAACAGCGAGCAGAAGTGAACAACTGGAGTTGTTGCTAAGTACTCTCCCATTTTGGGCGAATCGAACTGGGTGCCATTCCTATTCACGCGAGCGCATTACGCCGCACATGGGCGAACGTATTTTGCACGATATTGCACATATTTGTACGTTTACCGAACATTTACAATGTGTCTACGTATGTTCTTCTGCGTTTTCGCACGTTTATAGGCATTGGCACCGTTATTTTGCTTTTATCTGCTGTGTTCCACATACATTAGCACATTGTTTCACTTATGTACGTGATTATTGGATTTTGCATTAAACCCGTTCCACGTGTATCCAGCTAATATACACTGCATCATATTTCATATTCACACGTTTTTCCACGTTTTCGCACGTTTATAAGCATTGTCACCGTTATTTTTCGTTTATCTGCTCTGTTCCACGTATTTTCTGCACATGTCTATACTCTTATTGGCTTTTGCACACACTTTCTACAGCTGTGCGTTACGTTCATATTCCAAATTTACGTGTTCTCCCCGTTTTCACGTTTATTAGGTGCGCACCAATTGGAATTGTGGGCGGGCGTAATTCAAAATGAGAGTTGCCGCTAATTGGAACCTTTATTTTGCGTTTATCTGCTCTGTTCTTTAAGCATTTGCACTTTATTTCACATATCTAAACTCCAGCTTCCATGTTCATATTTCATATTCACACTTTCTTCTGCGTTTTCGAATGTTTTAAGCGTTAAAAAAAATTCTTTTTAGTGACGCAAAATTAATAGACATGTTAAATAATGCCATCGGTTGCAGGGGGTAGAGGTAGAGCCATAGTGTGGCGTTTCCACGCCTAAGGGCGATTCCCTGACGGCCAAAAAGGTGTCTTGTGGTCTGAGGCAAACAGGAAGGGTTTATAAGCAGCACTGTTATTTTGCTTTTGTATTCTGTGTTTCACGTTTTTTCAGAGCATTTGCACGTTTTTTAACTTATCTATGTGCTTATTGGCTTTTGCACACCGTTCTACTTCTTCCACGTTCATATTTATTATTGACACGTTCTTCTCCGTTTTCAAATGTTTTTAAGCGTTGGCACTGTTACTTTTCGTTTATAACGTATTTTCTGAGCATTTGCACGTTCTTTCACATATCGACACTCCTATGGCAGTGAAGTTAAAACTTATAGCTTGGTTGTAACCGGTTATAGAAATGCAGTAACCTACTTCAGCAGGCAGAGCCATAACTAGTTAAGACAGCGCAGTAACCAGTTATTGCAGAGCCCTAACTATTAACGGAAGTGCAGTAACAAGTTATAGTAGGATAATAAGTAGTTATAGAAGTGTTACAACTTGGTTCTAACCGATGAAGTAACAAGATAGAGCAGTCGTAACCTCCTTCAGCAGCTCCCTAACCAGTTAGAGGAGAGACATAACAGTGCTGAATCACAACAAAGCCCTAACATGTTATGATATTGTCCTAACTACTTATAGAAGTATACAACCAGTTACAGCAGGGTTTAACGAGTTATGGCGATGAAGTAACAAATTAGAGTAGTCGTAACCTCCTTCAGCAACGCCATAACCAGTTACAGGAGAGACATAACTGGTTAAAACAGTGCTGTTATCAGTTACAGCGGAGCCCTAACTAGTTATGGCAGTGCAGTAACATGTTATGGTAGGGTCCTAACTACTTATAGAAGTATACAACCAGTTACAGCAGGGTTCTAATGAGTTATGGCGATGAAGTAACAAGTTAGAACAGTCGTAACCTCCTTCAGCAATGCCATAACCAGTTTCAGTAGAGACATAACTGGTTAAAACAGTGCTGTTATCAGTTACAGCAGAGCTCTAAACAGTTATGGCACTGAAGTTAAAACTTATAGCTTGGTTGTAACTGGTTATAGAAATGCAGTAACCTACTTCAGCAGGCAGAGCCATAACTAGTTAAGACAGCGCAGTAACCAGTTACTGCAGAGCCCTAACTATTAACGGCAGTGCAGTAACAAGTTATAGTAGGATAATAAGTAGTTAGAGAAGTGTACTAACCAGTTACAACAGGGTTCTAACCAGTTATGGCGATGAAGTAACAACTTAGAGCAGTCGTGTAACCTCCTTCAGCATCGCCATAACCAGTTACAGGAGAGACATAACTGGTTAAGACAGTGCTGTTATCAGTTACAACAGAGCTCTAAATAGTTATGGCAGTGAAGTTACAAGTTATAGCATGTTTGTAACCAGTTATAGAAATGCATAACCTACTTCAGCAGGCAGAGCCATAACTAGTTAAGACAGTACCGTAACCAGTTACTGCAGAGCCCTAACTAATAAAAGCAGTGCAGTAATAAGTTATAGTAGGATAATAAGTAGTTATAGAAGTGTACTAACCAGTTACAACAAGTAACAAGATAGAGCAGTCGTAACCTCCTTCAGCAGCTCCCTAACCAGTTGGAGGAGAGACATAACTGGTTAAAACAGTGCTGAATCACAACAAAGCCCTAACATATTATGGTATGGTCCTAACTACTTATACAACCAGTTACAGCAGGGTTCTAACGAGTTATAGCGATGAAGTAACAAGTTAGAGCAGTCGTAACCTCCTTCAGCAACGCCATAACCAGAGACATAACTGGTTAAAACAGTGCTGTTATCTGTCCAAAGCGAGAACATTTTCTAACACCTTTCGGTACATGGACGATCTACTCACTTTAAATAACCCCTCTTTTGAGAATGCGATAAATGAGATATATCCACCTGAGCTTGTTTTGAAAAGACAACGGAAAATAATGGTAGGGTTTCATACTTGGATGTTGGCATTTTAATAAAAGATGGACATTTCACCACCACCATCTATGATAAGAGAGAGAGTTTCAACTTCCGTATTGTTAATATTCCTTTTATGAGCAGCAATAACTGGCATTCTACTAAGGAGCAGTAGAAATGAGCAGAAGAATGAGGAATAGAATGGCAGTAGAAGGAGCAGTAGAATGTACCGTCGTTTAGGGTCATCGCCTCCAGTGTTTTTTTTGCACCATTCGTTTAGTTGGTCCTGCTCAAATTTGCCTATGGGAAAAGCAAAAAAACGAATGAAGGTGGAACAAAGTCCTTCTGTGGGGTGGTTCAAGCACACCAAACCTCTTCGAACCTTCTCGAACTACATCCTCACAGAGATAGCAAGGTATATAGAGTTCTTTTACACTAGTTCGGAGTGGTTCGACTGTACCGAACCTTCTCCTTGAACCTCCCCGAACCGGTGCATATTGCACCTAGAACACCTTGTATCCCATGAAGAGATGTTGTTGGAGAAGGTCCGGTACAGTCGAACCACCCCGAACTCGTTTAAAGAACTCTATATACCTTGTTAGTGCAATGAAGTGCTTTGAGGTGGTTCAAGCGCATCGAACCTCCTCGAACCTTCTACAGTTACCCTCAACACATTATTCCTTTTGGGGAGATACATTTGGATAAGGTTTGTCACCGTTCGTTCGTGGTCTAAATGGTTCCCCGAACCTTATCCAACTGCATCTCCCCAAAACCTACCCTAGGGTTTTAAGCATGTCGAACCAAATCAATTTTCATACGCCCAGTTCCTTCCCATCCCCGAAAAATTACTTTCCAAAAACATTTTGTGCGTGAGGCAAACAACATAAAAGCAACAATATCAAAATAAACTCAAATGTGGTCTTCCAGCTGTTTTTCTGCTATGGTGTTAAGATCTGCCTTAGGTCCTTGAAGGAGGTTATATGTAGTCTGGGCGCTATGTCCGATTATAATGGCTAGAGCATATAGATCGTGGCTCTTTTTCATCGGTTTTGAAGCCCATGCATCCTTATGATGTTCTTCTATAGATGAATTATAATTTGCAGGATACAACATATCTTCCAACTGAGTAAGATCAAAGTCTATCATCCAAGCATAATTGTCACCAAACAGAAGATTTTCTTTTCTAATATCTCCATGAACATAGCCCTTTAAATGAAGACGGTTAAGGTCTTTCATTATATATGCAAATTGACATAGTTGATGGGGTATCATCGTTGCAGAAATGTAGTTGTATTGAAGGCAATGAACCCGTTGCGTAATTTACACGTTGTGTAGGTAGTCACCACCAAGTTGCTGAAGGGTCTTCATAAAAATTTTTATCATAGAGTTTATAGACAGTTTGTTTGGTCTAGAAACACACGACGTCCTATCTGTTCTACGTCCCGATCAGCAAACGGCACAAAGCAAGGATTTTCGTATTCAACAGGTTGTTGAAAAAGAGAGTGCACTGCTCCATATAAGACAGTAAAGAACGCCTCAGTACAAGATTTGTCGACAGACCTGACTTCGCAGACTTCCGTTTGGAACATTTTACAGTTACCTGCCAGATTTACAAACAATTTGGCCCTGTTCCTTGTCATAGCTAATCCAAGATTCACGGTTATATATTTTTTTCCTGGAAACACTTCGATTGCTTTCACACAATATGCAGCCGTTTCTTTACTTGCCGAAACAAGATCCTCTAATTTCATGTCCCCTAATACTATTGGATTGCCTGGAAGTTTGTCCTCGTGGAGACCACACACATAGAAGTCAGCTTTGGGGATCGATTGGGAAACTTTCGCGACTGGATACTGATGGTAACATGCACCCGTCGTTGCTGTTTCATTTCCAAAAAGAAATGTGTGCAGTTCGAGAGCAAAAAATCCTGTATGTGCTATTTCCGCACATTTCAATTCACTATTGCACAATATTCCTCTGCCTTCACGCACGCTAGATGACGAAAATTCTTGTAGTAACAGGAAATTATTAACAACTCTCTCCAAGGAAGATGCATTGGGCGTGAATTCGAATCCATTTTCCATGGTATGTGGAGTGGACAAACGATCGAACTCCTTGTACACCAGCATAGCAAGCCAGTGGGAGTAAAGAGGTGCTTGATTTACTGGATCACAGCTGGGGTTCGGTGGCATCCTTGCATATAAGGAAGGGGATAGACTCAGATGTGGAAGACTCCATTTTTGCTTCTTAGCTGGTGGTCCTGAAACAAAAGTGAGAGACCAAATGGGAATTGACAAAGTATAGTGCTCATACCTGAAGAAGACTGAATACGTGTGTATGTATTGAAATTTAATATTTTGACCATCAGACAAATTTGGATTACTTCACACACACACACGCACGCACGCACACGCACACACACACACTGAGAGATAATATAGGACAAGTATTGAGGCAATGGAAGCTGGATGATGTATTGATCTTATATTGCAATGGCTTTACTACTACATCTATATACATGTACCTTCCTGCTTCTCGAACCCCTTCTGGCGGTAGAGCTCCACCAATTGATGGTTAAGAGCCAACAACTGCTGGTTGTACAATATAAGGATTTGTGAATCTACAGCCACGTTATCCGTGGCATTGATCTTGGCCTCCGTGGCACTGATCTTGGTCTCCGTGGCACTGATCTTGGCCTTTGTGGCGCTGATCTCGGCCTTCGTGGCGCTGATCTCGGCCTCCATTGCGCTTGTTCCCACTCAGACTCGAACTCTCTAGAAAACAAATACAAAATATGTAAAACCACAGACTCGAATGTCTAGAAAACAAACACAAAATACGTAAAAGCACACAAAGAATTCCCTTAGTTTCAGTGGCTCGATGTGGTCGAACCATCCAAAACCAGAGCACAACCACCCGATACACACCATGGTGGTTCAACTCTTCTGAACATGTCCGAACTAAATAAAACACAGGGAACCACGCCTGCGAAGGAGCTTGACATGAGTTCGATGTGGTTCAACCCTACTGAACCTCCTCGAATCACTTGCCCTCGCCCCCAGGTTCGGAAGGTTGTTTTAGGGAGCGAGGTCTATAAAATGTTTATCGCTGTCAGTGTCATCTTGAGACCAAGTCGAAGTCCGTCTTAACTGGCAACGATTGTGTCGGCGGAGGAGGGATTTGTTCGGTTAGGAAGGAGGCCAGGTCGAATACAAGGTTATGCGCAAAATTTTGCGAAACGTGTTTGTACAAGGTTATAGAAGTATTATGGTTATAAGGTTGTATAATAATAATTATTATACAGGTTGTGTTTGGTAGTGAGGAAATGGGGTTGGGAGCCCGGTTAGGAAATGGTTGGAGAGCCTGGTGAGGAAATGGGTTGGGAGCCGGGTGAGGAAATGGGTTGGGAGCCGGATTTACATTTGTTCTGAATTCGTATACCAGAGTTCTACATACCATTTGAAAGTCTCACTCTGATCTATGCAATGATTCGTACTGTTGGCCACTTAGCAGGTACACAGTTAGGTCTGCTGAGTCACTCTGATGTCACTCTGATGAGCTGGCACGAGGTTTTGGTTCTCTGGTGCGATGAAATGGTCATAGTCATGGTTAGATCAAACTGGTCCACAGTGATGCAGCAATGTTACGAAGGTGGCGACACAGTTCGAGCCCCTCGGCAACGCAGCGGAGACCGGGTGAAGGTTTGCAGAGCTAGAGCGTTTTACTGTTAGTACAGTACTGGCAAGGGTGGCCATTTTAACAACGCACATGTGTGTACGTGTGTTTTTTCTGATTTAAAACACCTGTACATACATTGATTTTCTTTGCATTTGAGAAGGTTCGAAGATGCGGTTTGATTTGCGGTAGGAGTACTGAGGAGCTGTTCGAGGAAGTTCAAGGTGGTTCGATGCGGTCGAACCATCTGAAGTATGTTCCCTCGGTAGGTCGAACCACTCCGAACTCGTTTAAAATGTTTCTTAATGTCTTGTTGCTCTGTACCTGTTCAAACCATAGTACAACACGGGGAGCCAGGCCTGTGGCGGAGTTTGACTTGAGGTCAGGGTTGTGGTAAGAGAGGTGGCAGTTGGCACTTGGAAGAGCGGTAAATGCATCGTGACAACACGGATTGACCCCGAACTAACACACAAACACCAAATTATCTCAGCAGTTTGGGAAGGTTCAGTGTTGTCAAACCTTTCTGAACTCATGCAAAAGGGCTGTAAGGCTCAAAGGGAGAGTATATTATACAATTTAAAACCTGTCAAACCTTTCTGAACTCATGCAAAAGGGCTGTAAGGCTCAAAGGGAGAGTATATTATACAATTTAAAACCTGTCAAACCTTTCTGAACTCATGCAAAAGGGCTGTAAGGCTAAAAGGGAGATTATCCAATTTTTAAACACTTCACACCCACTCACCTGTAGTCCGCCGGAAACGCGAGGTAGCAGTTTGCAATTGGGAGAGCGGTAGGCGGCAGTGGGCACTTGGGAGTGCGGTAGAAGAGGCGGCGGTGGGCAATTGGGAAAGCGGTAGAAGAGGTGGGAGTAGGCACTTGGGAGAGTGGTTGAAGAGGCGGCAGTGGGCACTAATTGGGAGAGCGGTAAATGTTGAATTTTTAACGTTAAATTAGAATCTTCGCGCGTCGTAGCGCTATGAGTGGGCTTGTGCAGTTTAACAACAGGACTGTACACTTTGTTTTCTCTTTTGTTGTTCAAGAAGGTTCGAGGATGTTCGATGCAGTCGAACCACTCCGAATTCGAGTACAAGTACCCTACACACCTCCTAGAGAAGTGCACTCGTGCACACTAGGACTCGGATGCATTCTTGTTCAACAGATCCCAGTGCACTCATTTGCATCTAGTGCACTCTCATGGTCCAAGTGCAATTCAGTGCACTAGGACCATTGTGCACTCCATAGCTTCCAAGTGCACTCTAATGATCCCGGTGCACTAGCCTCTATAACATAACATAACATTTCATTTGCCCTGGGTTTACAGGAGGTGGAAGGAAGGTGAAGGTCAAGAATACAGGAGTGATTTAAAACTATTATGTAACGATCGACCAAAGATGAATATTGAGTCAGAACAACAGATGCAGGCATCAGTGATTTCTTGGGTGGTGACAGTGAGCTCGGAATGGTCAGACAGGAAATGGGAGCAAATGGAATGAGTATCCAACAATGAGCAGAAGCATGTAGAATGAGCAGAAGCATGTAGTTTCACATTCTACTGCTCATTATACTGCTCCTGCTACTGCTCATTTTACTGCCATTCTACTGCTTATTCTACTGCTGATTCTACTGCTCATTCTACTGCTCATTGTTCTGCTCATTCTACTGCCATTCTACTGCTCATTCTACTACTCATTCTACTGCTCCTTCTACTACCGTCGTGCATCAGCTCGCATGTTTTGCAAGTCCCAAGTAAGCACTTATGGATAGATATGTTAATTGTAGCCCCTTTTGAAGTCCTGTGTACCAGAGCAGTCGTAACCTCCTTCAGCAGCGTCATAACCAGATACAGGAGAGACATAACTGGCTAAAACAGTGCTGTGATCAGAGCTCTAAATAGTTATGGCAGTGAAGTTACAAGTTATAGCATGGTTGTAACCGGTAATAGAAATGCAGTACTACTTCAGCAGGCAGAGCCATAACTAGTTAAGACAGTGCAGTAACCAGTAACTGCAGAGCCCTAACTGCAGTGCAGTAGTAGGATAATAAGTATTTATAGAAGTGTACTAACCAGTTACAACAGGGTTCTAACCAGCTATGGCGAAGAAGTAACAAATCAGAGCAGTCGTAACCTCCTTCAGCAGCGCCATAACCAGTTACAGGAGAGACATAACTGGTTAAAACAGTGCTGTTATCAGTCACAGCAGAGCTCTAACTAGTTATGGCAGTGCAGTAACAGGTTATGGCAAGGTTCTAACGAGTTATGGTAATGAAGTATCAAGTTAGAGCAGTCGTGTAACCTCCTTCAGCAGCGCCATAACCAGTTAGAGGAGAGACATGACTGGTTAAAACAGTGCTGTTATCAGTTACAGCAGAGCTCTAAATAGTTATGGCGGTGAAGTTACTAGTTATAGCATGGTTGTAACAGGTTATGGAATGCAGTAACCTACTTCAGCAGGCAAAGCCATAACTAGTTAAGACAGTGCAGTAACCAGTAACTGCAGAGCCATAACTAGTTATGGCAGTGCAATACCATGTTATGGTAGGGTCCTAACTACTTATAGAAGTATACAACCAGTTAGAGCAGGGTTCTAACGAGTTATGGCGATGAAGTAACAAGTTAGAGCAGTCGTGTAACCTCCTTCAGCAGCGCCATAACCAGTTACTGGAGAGACATAACTGGTTAAAACAGTGCTTTAATCAGTTACAACAGAGCTCTAACTAGTGAAGTTACTAGTTATAGCATGGTTGTAACAGGTTATGGAATGCAGTAACCTACTGCAGCAGGCAGAGCCATAACTAGTTAAGACAGTGCAGTAACCAGTTACTGCAGAGCCCTAACTAGTTATGGCAGTGCAGTAACATGTTATGGTAGGGTCCTAACTACTTATAGAAGTACACAACCAGTTACGGCAGGGTTCTAACGAGTTATGGCGATGAAGTAACAGGTTATAGAGGAACATAGGTGAAGGAGCTCAGGAAGTATGGAGAGAGCCCTGGGCCAATATTGGACTCAACCAGAGGCCTGTACCAGAATAAACTGGCAAGACTTATGGCCCAGAACACCAAGGCGTCCAATGAGGGCAGGAGTCGACCATCGGAGTCAGTGGACTATCGGACGGACCACTTGGAGGAGTGGTCCTCTCAGTCCAGTGAGGGAGAGACTGAGGAGACAGAGAAAGACGAGGACTACCTCCTCAAGAAACCAAAGCCCTCACCCTCAAAGACACTGGTGGAGCCCAGCAATCTGCACAGAAAAGTTCAAGGTCAATGGGACGGTCAACGAAACCACACTCACCTCCCACTCACGGAGCTCCCTCGTCGAAAACGCACCCGCGAACACCCCATCTGAAGTTCACTCCTTAGCTTGTCTCCTGCTGCTGGTCATGTTTGCCGTGACGTTCCTGGTCTACAACCATTACACCAATCCACAGTCCAGCTTTTTTTTTCATTCCCCATCAATCCGCTCTTAAAGAGCAGCGATTTTCACTCTGTTTTTTACTCATGTTCGCTAATCTCTCTCCCGCTAGTATATAGCTTGCAGAGAGTCTGACACGGGCTAGCTACAGTAGTAGATTAGCATGCGAGAGTCGATACACGCCCTTCGTTGTGACTTCTTGTGCCTTCAAAATACACAGAGCAAGCAGACCCGGTCCTGTGCTAAGTATAAGCGCATGCGCATTTTCCGGTTCCGCAGCGATAAAAATGGCCGACTATGATTAGCCGTACAATGGTGGAAGCGCTCTAGCTTTGCAACGGAGCGTTTTCAGAGAAAACCGTTCGAAATTTCTGACCTTCATTGCCCGTTCGGTAGATGGTATCATTTGTGAGACGAAAGAAGATGAAGAGTAACAGACACACAGACAGATACAACTACTGTAACCCTCGCTGCGCATGCGCGCCGAGGGTTAATAATAAGTAGTTATAGAAGTGTACTAACCAGAAAACAGACTACTCGCATGGACGCACTCTCGACCCTGTGTATGCATTTATGTGGGAAGGATAGACTGTACCCAGTTTTAAGTAAGTCTGGTGAGGCAGATATGATGGATGCCATTATCTCCTCTATTGAACGCAGCTTCAATTCTTTGTGATGATATATCAGATGTTCGATATATGTAGTGCCTTTCGCTATCGACGTTTTGCAGTGAGGGCATGTTCTATCCCCAAACAGTGGTTGGGAGAGAGTTCGGAAGAGAGAGAGAGAGAGAGCAGATTTTGACCCCTTCACCCATAATCTAAGGCAGTATCCCAGCCATGATAGCTCCGAGTGAATGGAAGATAGATGTTTTAGAGACTGGTGAGTTTTTGTGAAATTTGCTCTAAGTTCCTTTTAGTCAGAATCTTCTTTTGAATGCTGCCCCAGGAATCTTACTTCACCGGTGAAGTTGGTCTCATAAACGGTTTCAAGATAACGACATTGTTCGGTGATTGTGAGATATCCTTGCTGGCAAAGGCGTGAAGTATTTCTGTACTTAACTTTGCCTCCCCTTCCCCGACCAGCTTTCTCATAAAATTCAGTTTCCTGATGAGCAACCTGGCCCTCATACTTGGCCAGTCCAGGCCGATCAGTACAGATATGTTTGAATGAAAGAGAGTTAATCGCAAGATTCTCCTCCCAACCCAGCACTGGAATTGTTCTAATTCCTCCAAGAGAGCGTCTGTAACGTACCAACTCTCAGACCCAAACAGCAGCACTGGCATATCAACGACTGAACGAGATAAGAGAAAAATGCTCTGCGAGCACTATTGATGTTTTCTGTAATGGCCTTTGCTGGGGAAAGATCCGGGGTCCACCATATCCCCAGGCACTTGGCAGCTTTGGACGGTTTCAAGGACACATGACCGACATCTACGGAGATGGAATTTGATTGTACCCCATGTGTGTGTACAACCAGCTCGCATTTATTGGTGTTCAGCTGCAGGAAATTCTCAGCCAGAAATTCATTGATGATCTGTGCCTGCTGCCTGCTGGACTGAGGGTCACATGTCAGGCTACGAAGATCATCGGCATGAGCAAGGGAGCCCATATATATGCCCTCCACGCTCACCCCTGCATCAGTCGTTTCAGCAAGCCATCTATCAGCAGCAGGAATTGAACCACCCCGAACTAATGCGTAAGCGCCCTGCACACCATTTCCCCTCTGTAACAATGTAGATAGAGAAGGTTCGGTACAGTCGAACCACCTCGAACTCACGCAACAAAACTCTCCACACCTTGCTATCTCTGTGATGATGTGGTTCGAGAAGGTTTGAGGATGTTCGATGTGCTTGAACCACCCCGAACTAGTGCACACCTTGTTTCCCCTGTAACAATGTAGATAGAGAAGGTTCGGTACAGTCGAACCACCCCGAACTCATGCAACAAAACTCTCCACACCTTTCTATCTCTGTGATGATGTGGTTCGAGAAGGTTTGAGGAGGTTCGATGTGCTTGAACCACCCCGAACTAGTGCGTAAGCACCCTGCACACCTTGTTTCCCCTGTAACAATGTAGATAGAGAAGGTTCGGTACAGTCGAACCACCCCGAACTCATAGGACAAAACTCTCCATATCTTGCTATCTCTGTAATGATGTGATTCAAGAAGGTTCGAGGAGGTTCGATGTGCTTGAACCACCCCGAACTAGTGCGTAAGCACCCTGCACACCTTGTTTCCCCTGTAACAATGTAGATTATTCTTGGACATAAAGTGCTCGCCTTAGTGGGTACAGTGCACTTAATATTTTTGTTTCATATCTACAGGTACTTGGATACTTTGTCGCATACACTTCTGAATTGGGAAATCCTCCCTTAGTTTTTGTACTTTCTGAGAAAGATTGCTCGATGCCTTTCGTAGCTCGCATCCGGGTAGCGTACTCCCACACACTCGAAAGCCGCTTAGAAACACGTAGCATGCGGAAGTCCGTTACCATTCATTTTTTTGGGGGCGTGCGAAAGTTCTGACCTAGGTCATCACGTGACTGTTTAGTATTTGAAATCGGTCAGCAAAACTCCCTGCTCGGAGCCCTGCCTAGATCGCCATGGCCGGTCTTGGTGAGCACTTCTTTGTTTGGTTCGACAAATTGGAGTTAAAACTTTTTGGACCAACAACGAAACTTCAAGTGAAAAAGTGTGTGCCTCATGACTTAAAACAGGAGTGCACTTTTCTTATAAGAGTGATGTACCTAATGTTCCGACTAAGGTCAAAGAAAAAATGAAAGAGTCACTGAAATTGATGCCACTATCAAAGTATGTAGATGCCATACGGAGTTCGACAAAGTGCGAGTACAAGATTTATGAGAGATCTGCCCTGTTCTCGATTAGAGAAACAGCACATTCCGAGAGAATTCGGAACGAGGCCGAACTCAGATATGTGCTGGGGGATCCAATAATGGAAATGATGTGCAAATCAGGAGAGCTAAAGGTATGTTAAAACTCATTGCAAAGGTCGAGCACGAGGGTCAAGTTACGTCACTAAAACGCAACGGAAACGCAACGCAAAAAACAAAAAATAATGAAAAAAGAAGACGACGGTGGGATTCAACCTACCTTGACACATGACCCTAGCCTTCAGAAGTTGGCTATGGCTGTCTCTAACGCTTCACGTGAAGTGAAAACTAGTTGAATTTGCGCGTCTGTATCTCGGCCCTTTGTGGTGCTACAATCCTGGCTCCACTTGGAGGACAAAGTCCTTGCGTTCATGAGTTCGGGGTGCACCGAACCTTCTCTAACTACATCTTTACGGGGGGAAAGTGCATCGAACCTCCTTGAACCTTCTCGAACCACATCATTGCGGATATAGCAAGGTGTGTAGCATTCTTTCACATGAGTTCGGGATGGTTCGACTCTACCGAACTTTCTCTAACTACATCTTTACAAGGTAAACAAGGTGTGCATGGCGCTTTTGAACTAGTTCGTGGTGGTTCAAGCGCATGGAACCTCCTCAAACCTTCTATTGCGCCCGTAATGTGGACCTCAATGAGTTAAGAGCCCACCATTGTGTCCAAAAGTTATGTTTTATTTATGTTGATAGGTGCAATTAGAGGAATCCGTGAGAAGTAGCAATGAACCGCCAGCAAAAAGGATGAGATCATCCCAGACCACGACCACGGCCACGACCACCCCAGAGAAACCAACACCTGAAAGGAGATTACCACAGGAGATTACCAACACTCCATCTACCAACGTGGCCAACGCTACATCGCCTGGCTCACGTGCAGACTACACATGCTACACGATTCGTGGGGCTGATGGTGTTCTTACAGTAGTGACAAAGATGGAACAGAGCAGCCAGGACGCATTAGCTCAGGTATATTCTAACCGCCTCCTTACTGCAGCTCATTTTTCTCTTAAATTGTGGGAAGCACCAGCGTTAGTCGAAAAGAATTGTTTGCGCCTCTTGGCATGTCTATTCCATGCAGCATTAAAGGATTACAGCATTGAATATGACGCGGCTGAACCCCATGAGGAGATGCGGAAAATTGTGCCAATTTCAACTGTTATCGATACAAAAGATGAGGAAATAGCAGCGCACGAAGCAGAGAAAGCGAGGCTGGAAGCAAAGAATGCGAGGATGGAAGCAAAGAATGCGAGGATGGAAGCAAAGGTAAAAGAGTTGGAGCGCCAACTGGAAGCAGCCAAGAAATAGCTATAGTGGTCACTATCATCCCCTAGTTTGAGATTCTGCTTTATGGCATTGCATGTTTCCTTTCATTCATATCTATATTATACATTACTTTTAACTCACCTTTTATTTTTTTTGCTGTCCATTCTCATCACCACCAAATATGGAAAAGTACATACAGGTGTTTTGTGAATGACAAGTACACACTGTTGTTTATACGTTGTGTGTAGTAGGGGTCATTCACATGAGTTCTGGGTGGTTCGCCAGTACTCCACTAATGTGAGTGTAGCAATTTATAGTCCACTAGGATCATTTTGTGCACACATCAATACCAGTGCAATCCTAGTTGACACTGTAGTGCACTCTAATGATCCTAGCGCCACCAATTGCATCTCTAGTCATAAGAGTGCACTAGGATCCATGCACTGGGATGGATGAGTGTGGATAAATGTGGGTATAGAGGCTAGTGCACCGGGATCATTAGAGTGCACTTTGGAGCAATGGAGTGCACATTGGTCCTAGTGCACTGAATTGCACTTGGACCGTGAGAGTGCACTAGATGCTAATGAGTGCAATGGGATCTGTGAGTGAACAAGAATGCATCCGAGTGCACTAGGTTTAGCCAATTGATTCTCATCCTCACACTAGCACATTCACTAGTAGTAGGGTAGGATCGATGAGAGTGCACAAAGATGAATGAGTGTGCACTAGGATCAAGTGCACTATCATTTGCACTCTCATGGTCCAAGTGAAATTCAGTGCTCGTGTGAAAGAATCGAACTCCGGGAACAACTCCCAGCTGTCCTACTGCTCATTTTACTGCCATTCTACTGCTGATTCTACTGCTCATTTTACTGCCATTCTACTGCTGATTCTACTGCTCCTTCTACTGGCATTCTACTCCTCATTCTTCTGCTTTCTAGTGCCATTCTACTGCTCATTCTACTGTTGATTCTACTGCACATTCTACTGCCATTCTACTGCTCATTCTACTGCTCATTCTACTGCCATTCTACTGCTCATTCTACTGCTCATTGTACTGCTGATTCTTCTGCTCATTCTACTGCCCATTCTCCTGCTCCTTCTCCTGCCTTTATACTGGCATTCTACTCCTCATTCTTCTGCTCATTCTACTGCCAGTCTACTTCTCATTCTACTGCTCATTCTACGCATAGGTTAGATCACTGGAACGAGTCACTACGAGGTTTGAATAACCCGAGGGGGAGGGGTGAGAATGACGCAATAGTGACCGAGGCGGAGCCGAGGTCACTATTGCGTAATTCTCATCCCGACCCGCGAGGGTTTTCAAACCGAGGAGACGGGTTCAGTGGTCTAACTGGCTTAGAACCGCGGCACGGAGAGCGCAGTTTCGCTTAGTCTTTTCGATATTGTGCAAGACCCGTTACCCAGTTGGCTCTGCCTTCCAGAATTTAGGCTCGTTGGCCCATTTGCTCATAGCTTCGAGACTGCCGCCGAGCAGGACGCGTTCATCGTACAAACATCGCAGCAACTGGACGGATATATCCTGCAAGCTCCTCCGGAGCAAGACACTGCCACTGGAGCTCTCAGCCCGCGTCGCTTGATCTGGACGCGATTTGTTGTTTGTCGCTAGTCAGACGTTGAAATCAGCTACATGGCTCTACCGGGAAACGCCTGACTAGCGACCAACAACAAATCGTCCAAGCGACGCGGGCTGAGCCGATGCTTGTATGATGAGCTCGGTGGCAGTCTCGAAGCTACTAGGAGCAAATGGGCCTTCCCACTCCCTGATTATTATGGATTTGACCATAATTCTTCACAGTGATCTAACTTGCAACTTAGAGACTTAGTACTTAGATACCTGGCAGACCCACTACTACGGGTTTTAGACACTTGATTACTACACTCAACATCAAAGGGAATTATTCATGAGAGGTTCTAATGGTCATTATACTGCTCCTTCTACTGCCATTCTTCTGGCATTCTACTCCTCATTCTTCTGCTCCTTCTACTGCCATTCTACTGCCAGTCTGCTCCTCATTCTTCTGGCAGTAGAAGGAGCAGTAGTTACCTAACCTTCTACTGTGTTTTCAGAAGAGTACATGTGTGGTGGATGGAGTGTTTTGGTGGGTAAGAAAAGGGAATAATGAAGTTCTGCTCATAAAGCCCCAGATGAATTTCGCACATGAATGCACAAGTTGACATACATCACAAATGGTCGAGACAGAGTCCCACTCATACAGGGGGCGGATTTTACATCACGTTCAGAAGAGGTTCGATGTGCTTGAACCAACCCGAACTAGTGCATAAGCAACCTGCACACGACCGGTGACTACGACGCTACCACTGCTTGCGCGCCGAGGGTTAGTTGCACAGAAGAAATGGATTATTTATACAACAAATATTGGATCTCTAATGAAGTTTTCATGCACCGACTCAGAGGGCCATTGTCCACCAAGCAGGGAGCACAGGTACGGGTGGATTGATTGAGTGGGGTAATACCGGTTGTAATCGAAGGTACCGCAGTCATAACTGCTGTCGATCGACTCATCCAAGATGTAGCAGAACATCAGCCCCATCTGCAGGAGGTCAATATTCTCAAGCACCCAGTTCTCACCCAGAGGTTGGTACATTGTTGACGTGGAGGGTAAATGGTGGCGATCACATTCAGAGTCTTTGAGTGCACTCCTATCTAGGTCGATTAGTATTGGCCACTGGGTTTGGTTATCAAAGCAAATGTTCTCGAGCCTCAGATCCATGTGAGCCAGACTGCAGGTGTCATGCAGCTCGCGGACGGCTTTGAACACCCCATCTGCAAATCCATCCACACCACGAAAGACGATCCTTGCTTCATATCTGTCGATAGGTTTCAGTAGAAGTTTGTAGGTAAAATATTCTTTAGGCCCAACGAGCATCCTACCATTTGGCAACAGGCTCCTTTCTAACTGGGTCATAAAAAAGAGTCGGAGCAACCGAGCTTCAAGCCATGGAGTAAAATTGCACTTCAGGATTTTTCCTTGCCGTGGGTCTAATATGACCACTGAATGCCCTGACATAATGCCGCTCCACCCCTCCTCGTACATTCTTCCTATGCCTGCCCCCTCCTCACTCTGTCGACCCTCACCAGCTGTGTGGGGGGCATGGCTTCCTCTCTCCCCTCCATTACCATGGTTCAAGGAGCCATAACAGTCTTGTCTATCAGATTGGAGAAGTAGACTGGTTTATGGAATTATCACCATTTCTCTTCTTTTCTTCCCCCCACATAATGTTAGTATATACCTGAATTGTCCTGTCAAGGATCACATTAGAAAAGTAGATTTTTTGCAATTACACTTTTTTCTCTTCACTGGGACTCTGTCGAGTGGTTGCCGTTGACCTCCGCCTCTGCGATGAGCTCGCCGATTCCATTTCTGATTCCGTTTGAACCCCCCGCGTTATACTTGCCACACCTCCTCGAGTATGTACTTAGCATGGGACTCCCAGCCGGTCAGGGAACCAGCTTGTCCCATGAAAATGTAACTTATTCCGTTAACCCTCGAAATTTTATTGATAAATAGAGGTTAATTAATACTACATTATGACACGCCTTTACTGTGTCATTGTCAAGGTTATGCATGCGCACACATCTCGGCAGTTGCTACACCCAAGTATAACTATACAGTGGTCACCATCACTTCAATGGGACTGATACGGTTTGCTTTGAGATATGGAGGAATATGGAGGTCTGGAGGCTTGTGGTCAGTTTGGTATAGGAATTGATATATGTGACCGTACACGCGAAAACCAGGCATAAGTCGGCAAAATTGATTTTTAGTAAACAGCCTTACAAGTCGAAACAGCGGGTACCGCGGATTCAGACTTTTTTTAACGGAGAAGGACCTACATCTATCTAGAAGACAGCTACATTCTTTAGAGCGTCGAAACTCGCTCGCCAGGGCCGTGGCGGCGCCTCGAAGTAGGCTACGTCGATCTCCACGCGCCCGTAAACGGGCGCAATACACGGTAATTACGCGGAGAAATTTACGGGCCGTCAAAAAACAACAGCCTAACGAGGAGCTAGGGTTACCAACGATGCTAAAAGCTTATCTGCTACCTTCGTTGGGCCTGTCTTCTTCGTTTCCACGAGAGATAGCCTCGTTCCACAACCATGCGAGCGGCTTTAGGGGGCGTGTCAACGCACGACGTGTAACGGAGCGCGTATGCGGAAACATTTCTCCACGTAGAAAAATTGCCGTTTCTCGGATCTCGAAGGTCTGACTCCCGGTACAAAAGCAGCTATATCTCCAGAATAGAACGGGTCATCCGCACCAAATTTTGAACGAGCACGGAAAAAGGGTAGAAAACGCGGAATCCGGTGAAATCTGGAAAAATATTTTTGCCGACTTATGCCTGGTTTTCGCGTGTACGGTCACATATAGTTCCAGCAGCGCCATTACATAAACCCACCTGTTGCCATATGTTAGATTAGGTGTGGTCCCCAGGGGAACGGAGGAGCCCACGCTTGTTGAGCGTGGCCCTTCTTGGATCTGTCTCCCTTTGTCGATTACGGCCAGTGCAGGGCTGGCTGAAGTCGCTGGGTCACCCGCAGCTGTGTACTTGGGCATGAAAGGTGGTGCCATGTCTCCAACACCTAAGGGAGGAGGGGTGATGTAATTTGCTATGATCGCCACAGCCTTTATCCGAAGCTGGCCCCTACTCTGACCCCTGACGGGTTTAACACGGCCATTTGGCCCTCTTTATGGAGATATCACTGTGCCAGCGTTGGGCTACGACCGAGGCGACTCCTCAGTGCCCTGGTTTTATGGAGCTCCATACGGCCGGTCTGCTCATGGGCCAGGCATATTGCCCGCACCTCAGTACCACGATCGCCGTGGGACCCCGTCGTGAGCCACGACTACCTGATCGCCATGCCCTGCCCCGGTCGCCGGGGGAACCCGTTAACCTCTTGACCCCACGATCGCCGTGGGACAGTCACGTGCCATGAAAATGCATGGTCGCCATGCCCTGCCCCGGACGCCGGGGAACCGGTTAACTTCTTGGCCCCACGATCGCCGTGGGACGGTCGTGTGCCACGAAATTAATGCATCGATCACCCCGGTGCCTGTGGGCGTCTTGACCCCACGGCCGCCCTGGGGTCCAGGCAAAGCCTAGTGGCCATGCTGCCCGTTTCTAAGAACACCTCCCGTGATCGCCACGGGATCTGTCAGTGAGAACTGGCCGGTGTCGGTATTTCTACCGGGGCTAAGGTGTGAGCCCTACCCCTACTTGATAGACCCGCCCGGAACTATTTAACACCCGCACCCGCGTACGTTCTCACCCGACGGGGAGGAAGATGTCTGCGGTAGCGGGTCCTGGGGTGGTCCCTCCGTCGGCTGTCCGGAGTCTCCTCCACTTCCACTCCGGTGCTGTTTCTGGCGTGCTACGACAATGCGGTCGATAAGCGCGAGCTGCTCCGCTGTGAACGGCTGAGAAACGCCAGCGGGATCGCTTCCTGTACCCGAGGTTCCGGACGAGTCACCGACCGCTGGGACGTCGCGGGTCTTGTCGCCGGGGTCCGTCATCGGGGATGCCGAGATGTAGAGAATCTATATCGATCACCCGGCTAGCTGCTTGATGCACGCCCTTGAGCTCTCCGCGCGAGAATGCTGCAAATCTGCCAGAGTGCCCCTGGCGCATGCGTGGAGCTGCATCTCCCCGCGCACGCACTCCTACGCTCGTTAACCTGGTTTAACCCAACGGTTAAACGTCATTGGACTTTGGTGGGTGGGCTTGCTCTTACGGCTTATAAGTGTTTATAATTAGTTTCTTCCTCCTTTTTGCTCATCGACGGACTCCTTTTTGCTCATCATACAAACTTGAAATCCAAAACGATTTAATAGAATGAGCAGTAGAATGTGCAGTAGAATGAACAGTAGAATGAGCAGTAGAATGGCACTAGAATGGCACTAGAATGAGCAGAAGAATGAGGAGTAGAATGCCAGTAGAATGCCAGTAGAAGAGCAGTACAATGAGCAGTAGAATCAGCAGTAGAATCAGCAGTATATAGAATGGCAGTAAAATGAGCAGTAGGACAGCTGGGAGTTGTTCCCGGAGTTCGGGGTGTCTGGGTCTGGCCTGTCTCCACGACGTATCTCTGGCCAGAAACCATCTCCTCCTCTTCCTGCAAGTTATGCACACATTTTTTTAACCATTCGACGTTTATCCAGCTCATTTAGAGTGCTTCTACGTTCATATTTCTGCCCTTTTGCACGTTTAGCATCGGCAGCTCCGTTGCACGTATTTTCTGAGAATTTGTCCACTTATCTACGTGCTTATTGGCTTTAGCACATATTTTAAAGCTCATGTACACTGATGACTAGCCCCTTCTTTCTTCCTGCAACTTTTCTTCATCAATGTTCTTGTAAGTTTCACTTGCTGCCTTATTGAATACACCGGGCCCGCCTTCTTCCTGGCTAATTTGAAAGGGAAAAATAACTGTTTGGCTACCTTCTGTGCCTCCAAAGCACCTTAGAAATATTTGCCAATGTGTTTTAGGCTTCGACTTCACAGGAAAATCTAAATATCTGTGCTTTGCCTTCGCATGGTGTTGCATTTTGTAGTGTTTCTTCTTTATCCATTGCTGCACGAAAAAAAAAGCTACAGTGAGCTAAACTCCATGTTACTCTCCCAACCGTAGCTTGAGGTATCTCTAAACCGGTATCTTTTGCGGCTTTTGTAATGGATGGGAGACAACTCCCCGTATGCTGGCAGAGTACAGCGCTTGAAGCCTGGCGATTTGCACTGGGGTGAATTTGACTTTCTTCTTCTTTCTTGCAACGTTTGATTGGCTATATTCGCTATCGGAAGATGCAAGCAGCTCCACCAGTGTCACGTGGTCCAAACGACGTGGGGGTCTCTGATATAAAATTCAGTACGTATGGGTTTACCGCTCAACGTTTTTGTATAATTATTTATCTGCGCATGCGCAAACATTTATCCATTTGAGGTTTTTTTGCGCATTGGCACGTTTTGCTCGTTGGTTCAGAAAAATTCACACTTTTGTTTTCACTGCTCCATATTTTTGCATGTTTTTGTAATATTTTTCACTGCTTCACGTTTTTCCCCGAACATTCGCCCGTATTTCTCCCAGTTGCAGCTGAGCCCATTCGCATTTTTTGACTTCCGTTTTTGCACAATTTGTTGTTTAGCGTGCACACATTTTTCTGCGTTTGCGCACGTTTTTCTCACTACTCCCATGTTATTTTGGTGCTTTTTTAATTGCTCCACGTTATTTTCTTCAAATCCGCACCAGGTTTTTGGGCATTGGCACGTTTCCTTCTTGCTATTTTTTCTGCCAAGTCGCACGACTGCTTCACCGTTTTTTTGGTGCTTTTTTGCAATGTATTACTGCGTATCACCAGGTGTTTTTTCCGCGTTTGCGCATATTTACCTCACTGCTCTATGTTTTTGCTGAGCATTCCATGCTTCATATTTTTCCCTGCTCAGGTTGTTTCTCCCAATTTCAACATTGGCACGCTTTTCTGCTTGCTCCAGGTTGTTTCAGCCCATTCGCACCACTGCTTCACTGCACATGTGCATGTTTATATGAGTTTGTGCACTCACTGCTGCATGTCACGTTTTCTCCTTCATCCAGGTTTTTTTTCACTGCTCCACGTTTTCTCTGAGTATTTGCAGGTTTTTGTATTTATTTCCTGCGCATACGCACGTTCTTCTTCATTTGCACAGGAATTTCTCAGTTTTTTTAGGACACTTTTTTCATGAACACGTTATTCAGCATCTGTTCCACACTATTGGTCATTGGCACATTTTGCTCAACTTTGTGATTCTGCCTATTCACACCTTTTTTTCACTGCTCCACGTGTTACCTGCATATTTGAGTGTTTTTGGAATTTTTTCTCTGTGCATGCGCACTTTCTTCACGGCTTCAGGTTGTTTCAAGCAATCGTCAGAGCCACGAAAGACCTTAAATTTAGTGCAGCAGATCCCTTTGTGAAATGTTTCTGAAGCAGTAGTAGTGCGAATTGACTGGAGCAAGCAGTGGAGCAGGGAAGAAAATGTGCCAATGCGCAAAAAAAACGTCAAGTAGTGAGAATAACCTGCTCTAACGAAGAAAAGTGTGCACATGCACAGAAAAATACAACAAAAGGTGTGAATGGGCAGTAGGGCTAGGACTATGGCTAGGAAATGGAAATAGAGGCTAGAAAATGGAAATAGAGACATAAAAAGGCCATTGCCGTGAAAGTGGCAGGCAGGGCTGGGGGGGCATATCGCCCACCCAGCGCTCCTCCCGCCATTAACGCTACGGGGCTTCCTACTTTCACGGCAATGGCCTTTCACTTTCTCTATGTCTCTATTTCTATTTTCTAGCCCTAGCCCCAATCGACGCAAGGAAACAGCTCGGTAGAAAAGCACAGCAGGTTTACTTAAGTATCGCTCTTTCGTTGCTAAGTTTAACACACGATTCAAGTTCCCGGCAGGGCTG